AAATCTGTCAAAAGAATGTTATTCTCTCTATAGCTTTGTGGTTCCTCTGACTCCATCCCTCATCTGGCATGCAAAGCATTCTGAAAATCATGCCTCTCTCTCAAAAACAGCATACATCTGCTGGCCTGTATCTGTTTATGCCAAGAAAGCTACTTAAAGCCTGGACAGAGATCAGCCCACTGCCTAGTTTCCACAGCTAAGCCTTGGTTCATGGATAGAAAGAAATTCTAAGTGGACTCTATGTCCTCCACTAGTTTCCTGATGGCCAGTGCAGGCCTTGTCTGAAAACCTGAAGCACAGTTCTGCCAGGGCTTCTTAGCCAAATTGGTATTGCTGAAGCCCAAGCCTGGCAAGCCCAGTGTGTCCACTGTATGTATGTTAGTCTGATGTACTCTGGACTTTGATCTTCACTTTGTTCTCTTGACATACAGCCAGACCATCTCTCAGTCATACCATACTTGCTTAGCTGAGTACCTGGGACTGTGGCCTTCTCTATTCTCCAGGAACTTAAGTCTTGGTACTGCTTTCCAAGACTTCAGCTTAGTTGAAGATAGTATAAGCTATATTAAGCAGGAGATCTCTCTTGTGCACTACTGGAATTGCAATAACCTTTGTAGTTGCAATGTCATGCAGATTGTGCTCCATGCTCTTTGGATCAACTTATTGCCTATTCCATGAGTACTGATGCTTCCTTCTTTTCCTACTGCACACAGTATATGACCACTTAAGCATAATGGATTATTCAAGAAGGAAAGTGGCTTCATCACCTAACTCATCAAGATTTGGAATGTATCTGTCATGCACAAATACAATATGAAGTACTTTTTCTGTTTCCAAAGGAGCAAAATTCTGCCATCTGAAACAAATCCTTTGATTTCATTACTTTCCAATTATTATGGGACTTCATCTCATTGGTGCATGAAAACTGTCTTTAAAGATTAGAAAGACTTGACATAAAATATGCATATTCTGCCCTACAGAGCTGAAGCAAGTAGAAGTTGAGAGAGACAGATTTCAGTATGGTTTAAGATAGAGCTTTTTAAACTTTCAGAGCTAGCTCAAGATGGACTATGCTCTTTTAGTAGGCGGTGATATTTTTGGTGTGCTAACAAGTACTAGGTTGAAATCCCAATGCTCAGCACCCAAAAAATCATTTTAGCTTGGAATAAATAAAGAACACTTGATCAGAAGACATCAGTCATCTATGTCTACTCGCAGGCTCCCATCTGAGGGCCCTGGGATGTTCACTCTCTGACATAGGAGTGAAACTTCCATCTGGTCTACCATTTGGTCTACCCTGACAATCTGGAACTCTAAAGTGCAGTGTGCTGGGAAAATTGGTTCTGGGCTCCAGGGGATCTCTCCCCTTTGTCTGCTATAATTAACATCACAAGGATTTATGCTAAATTCTTCATATTTTCCTATAACTAACTGCAAAATGTAGATGGACTGGCTTTCTGATGAATGAGAACACTTTTGATGAACCATGGAAGTTGCCTCTTTATGATCTTTCCTGTATTTATTCTTGCTCTCTGACTGGTGTGATGGTTCCAATTTGCAAGATACCAAGATGTAGATTTAGGTTCTGCTAGGATAGTTTCTTTTACAAACAAATTTTAAGGGCTCTAAGTATCTTTTATGAAGAGCAACTTCATGAAAGTTGAGAAAAACGTGAGTTTAAAAAATCTTTAACGAGTCTGGAAAGGATGCAATAAACTCAATAAAATGACTGAGGGATTGATTTTTTTAAAAAGAATATGAAAAATATATTTGACCCAGAAACAATAGAGTTAAAATGATGCTTGACAAAAGTCTTGGAAATTATGAAAGTTTTATAAGGTGGCCATGATATCCTTCAGGATTATTTCAGAACATTAAATTGTATGCACTTTTCTTAAAGCTTGAGAAAAATCAAAGTTTTCAGCACTATTTTTCCCTGTTGACAAAAACATATTTGACCTTATTCTCCTTTGCCATGCAAAATATCCCAAGTACCATCCACAGAAACAAGCTGGTCTTTTGTTTCACACTCAACCAATTACTATATGCAAGAAAAACTCAGGAAAACTTTCCAAATGTCTGAACATAATGAAAAATGTCTATCAATTTAAAATAATAATTAAAAAGGTGTGATGGAAAGCTGGGTTTCCCATGCCTCCAAATTTCTCTTACTTTTACTCAGGGTTCTTTTCACTTCTAAATTCACTGCTCTGAATGAAATAATCAGGATGTATAGATTAGGAATGTAATTTCTATCAAAGACTCACAATATAAGGATTCTAATAGAGCAGCAAAAAATGTCTTAGAACATTCTTTCACAAGGAACAGAATCTTACTTAAACAAGTTCAAGAAAATGGAGTGTTTTAGAGAGATACCAATTAAATGGACTCCAAAGTGAAGTCAAAAGTCCTGACATTAGGAAAGGCAGGAGCCAGGTAGCCAGAGGGGCCTCGGCAGCAGATGTTCATTGACTCCGACTCTCACAGCCCACCATAAACAGTGTGAGACTGTGAGTCGGATTGTTTTGGTCCAAGTTACCCATGACTGGCTCCTTCAGGCCAGGTTGTAGTCTTGATTAAATCAGAGTGGTCAGGGATATTGAACAGAGGCAGGAATTGGAGGAAAGCTTATCTTCGTAGACGGTGAGTGGAAGAGGAAAATAATTGGCATATATAATGCATTGGTTAAAATAATTAAAACTTGGATCATGTCAAGATAAAAGTTATCAGTTTCTTCAAATATAGGTCAAAAATTTCTGTGCCAATGTTTGATTTAATCTCAGTAAAAGACTGACACTGACATCCCTTTCTTAAAAAAGAAATTTCATGAATATAATTCAGAAGTCTCTACCTAAAATATACTTTAGCTACAAATTAAGGTTGAACATCATTATGATCAGAAAACATTTCTTGTTACTAATGCATATGAGAGAAACTGGTAATAATAATTATTCCTTTAGATTTGCTGTATCAATCATTACATTAACTTCTTTAACATTTAGTAGTCTTAAAGCTATGCCAAGTAATCTAAATTAATAACTATATAAATCAAATAGCAAACAGGCTGACAAGATCTATTGAAAATTGTTTCATTAATATGAATATTAATATTAAATTTAACAGATTAAAAAGTCTTCATAACACCCAATTTTGGAACTATTATGGCTCTCAATAAATGTTCCAAACTCAGATGTTGTTTAAACTCCAATACTAATTGTAACGAGGAAGATATAATCAGTATATATAACAAAGCATTAAAATCTCAACTTCCAAAACCTAAGCCACAAAGGGAGCCTCTGCTCCTTCTTTCTTTCAAGTATCATATCTCAGTAAAGTACAACAGGGCTTCCTTTCTTTCACGAATAAATATTCTTCCCCAGGAGCAATTTAAGGAGTCAACTATTACCCCTTTAAGCCTGTCCTTTAGTAGATCCACAGTGACCCATAAAGATGTTGCAGCCTGGCTCAAGTTCTTTAATAGTTTTCCCTGGCCTTCAGGATAAAGTTGAAGCACTTCTGCAACCACAAAATGCAAACTTGTCTGGTCCTTTCTTTCCTCTCCAGATTCAGCTTTCACTCTCCGCCTTACCAGCTGATAGTTTAGTAGTAAGAAACTACTTGTTGCTGCGCTTCACCTTCTTCTTCCAGGCCTTTTCTCATGCTTCTCCATCTGATTGGAATGTTCTTCTCCCCACCCCTTTCTTTACCTGAGGAATCTCTAATCTCCCATAATGATTCAGCTCCTGTAAATCTTCCCTGGGCCTACCAAATTGGGCTAAAATTTCCTCCCTTTTGGGACTTATGGTCCCAAAATGTCCTGTGCATTCCTCAATTAAAGCATTTATGAATTATATTGAAGAGATCAACTAATTGGTCTATTTATCCATAAAACCATAAGCTGGTTCATGTTGTACTGCCAATACCTACTGGGGACCCGATATACTAGAGTTATTGTTGAGTACAGTTACCCAAGAATACTGTTTCTGTCAACAAAATACTTAAGCCATTTGATGAAGAATTTGAAGCCCCAATGAGGTCAAGAAACTTATAAATTAGTTATTTAAAAAATATTCAACTGCTTGAGTAAAGTGAATTTAATCTTTTAATTTTTCTTAATAGCCTCAAAAAAATGGCTGTTTATAGATGTAGCCTAAGAGCATTTTCTTGGCATGCTGGTTCACTGCCTGGAGCCATCTGAACACTTTGCCTAAGACGAGATAGTGATTTTTCAAGCAATAGACACACTGATGGGTCTCAAGGCCATGGCTGAAATGGTGGTTTTTCATATAAGGGTTTTGTAATTGTGACTGTCACAAATGATGTGATTTGGTTCAACTGCCCAAAACAAGCAGCATATTTCCACTGCTCTATACCCTAAACTCCTCATTATTTTATATTTTTAGCATAATGAGAATATAAATAGCAGCTTCATAAATGTTATGCTAATGCAAAAGAGAGATCTGTATAGGCAAAGTAAGTAAAATGAATGGATCACTGTGGACAGTGGCTCTTCAGAGATAATCCTGTTCTGCATTACCTGCATCTCTCAGATAACAGTGATTTGGAATTCAGCACACCTGAATTGTCCAGATAACTGCTACGGTTCTTCCATTTCACTGTGTTAATGTAAGAATGGCCTAAGAACAATTTTTGAACAAAGCAAATTGGGATGAAGCCTAAATAACAAGGCAAAACTCTACTTTTTAAATTAATGGTAGAACCAGAATTATTTATAATTTATACTTTTGTTTTACATTCTGGAAAGTGAGAACAATCTAAAAACACTTCAGGGGAGCTTAGTACAAAAGATCATTATTTTCCTATTCCAATTCAGTTTTTCAGAGCATTTTAATTGCTGACGAGATATCTCAGAATTAAACATAGGCAAACATTGCAAAATATACCCTCTACATTGTGCCTCTTTTTCTCCTTTCTGGGTATGAATGCATTCACATTCTCTCTGCCTCATTTATGAAATCCAGGGATAAAAAGTTCCTTACTTAGTATTATGTGTATCAATGGTATGGAAGAGCTCATGTAATTCTTCTCCACTGAGAACACCATCTGCAAAATATGCTTTGAATTCTTCAAAGGATAATTTTCCATCATCTGAAATGGCAAGAACAAAGAGAGGAAAATTATTTTAATTTTATACCTTGTTCTACCTTTTGCTTTATAAAACTTTGTCCAAATGCTTGTGCATGTACATACATGTATTCAAAGAGAAAGAACAGCTCAAGGTGTTAAAAAGAAAAATAATTTAATATATCTTTATATGACATAGAATGTAGACATGTACACTCTGACAAAATATAATTCTATGCCATTTTGGGTATTTTTTTCGTTCATTTATTCACGTGACAAACATTTAACATTTAATGAACCATTTAACTGGCCATACAAGAAAGATATCCATATAACCAAAGAAAGAGCTCAACACAGAATCAATTATTTAGATGTTTTACCTTCATGGTACCAAGCATATATACGACCTAGTAGATTCCAGGATAAATATTATGTGTTTAATAAATTATATCAGAGTTGTTGTTATAGTCTAACAAACTATGTCCATTCCTATCGCCTTTAAATCAGTGAGTACCTTTAAAGCCAAACACATTTTACTTACTGTAGAGGACAGTAAGTAAAATATATAATAAATATATGATAAAAGAGATAACATATACAGACATTATAAGTATTTTATATAGTAGAAAACAGTTAATGCAATAAGAGACAGAGGTATTTTAATGGTATGGGAGTTTGGGCAATAAAAGATTCTTTTCATTTGAGGGCCTGAGGGGTTTTAGTAGCATTCGAGTGTGCCTTTGCACAACAGGTAAAATCTAGATAGCAAAGATGGAAGAAACACATTAATAGCAGGGAAAAGTTTTGTACAAAATACTCCTGAGGGTTTTAAATTGTATTTTATTTTGGTTTTTAACACAAAAGCATAATAATCTAATTTTCCACTTAATTCTTGCCAACAGTTAACTGGGCAGATGCAACCTTAGAGGTAGAATAAATCCAGATTTGGTTGAAGCACTGATTCATGGACTTGATCTTTGGGGACCTCCTGGACCAGCCCGGGTTAGCCATTCAGGTGACGTGACAACCCATTGCAAAATGAAGTTTAATCCCCAGGGTCATCAATTGCCCAATTTTGTGTTTCTGTTTCTGAATGAGTTAGTTTTATGCCTCATATGACTGTTTTAAACTTAGCCCCATGTAACCTGATTGATATGCTAGATTAGACACAGTGTGGTAATTCTAGTGTGTATCTTCTTGCTTTGATGAAAAATATATTGCCAGGTTGTAAAACAATACAAATCAGACTGAGTTTAAAGAGAGAAAAAGAAAGACCTTTTCATCTCCTATTTTTAAAAAAACAATAAAAGAAAGAAAAACAGAAATTGATCCACTATTTCCATCTCCAACACTATGACATGTAATGAATGTAATATATTTATATTGATGATGGAATATGTTTTCCTTGGTGAAGACTTAATATTTCTCAGGTGGGTGGAAAATATTTTCTTGGGTTGCCTGTGCACCCTATGGATAGGGTGGGCCCCTGTAATACTGCTTTATAATTATAAGTAAGAGATTTCAAATAAGAATGTGCATTCTACCAAAACAAGCATTGATTAGTAAGTGCTCTGATGATTCTCTGGGGCTAAAATCCTTTTATTTAGGAAAAAACACTTATTAGAAAAAATATATAAAAAGAAAAAGGAAGCATTAGCTTACAATCTTGACTTGTAGGGTAGAAAGTATGCTTTAGAAAACCTGTTGTGATGACATGCAGTATTTCTGAAAGGCTTCACTTTAGGGGGCCACACTTTTAAACAAGCAATTGCAGAGTTACTTTTGAATACTTATAGATGAATACCTTAATATTAAACAAAATTATTACATTTTTTAAAGGAAAGAGAAGAAATATTCCCTTGTAGTGTGATTCTGTATTGATAAAGCAATTATAAATTTTTATTAGAAACATTTTATTCAAACTTCAACTCTCCTACTGATATTTTCTTTTGAATCTATAAACCCTTGATTTATACTGATTTGGCTCACATTATAGCCAAATCTTGTGAGGTCTGATTTCCTATGTTAATAAATTTGAACTTTTACCAACAAAGGACACCGATTTTTAGCTTTTTCTATTGGAATTAGATGCTTTGTCCAAGTTTATCCTGAAACTAGTTGGCCCCTCTCTGCTTTATTTAAAAATTGTCCTGGCCTTATATTCCAAATTCCAGTAACTTTTGAGATGGGGGCAGCAGAGTGCAGTTGCTTAGGCCATAGTCTTGGGACAAAAAAATCTTGAGTTTTAAACACAATTTGCCATTTGCTAGTAGGGCACTTTATCCACTCTTTCATTAAATGTTTATGAAGATACTGTATGTGCCAAAAACTGTGTTTTGTATTAAGAACATAAAGGTAGACAAACTTTTATGGATCATATAATTATGACATAATAAATGGTATGATATAATAAGGGTAACTCTACGAGACACAGGGAAATGTGAGAGCATCTTGAAAAAAAGAAAAACTGGTCAGCAATGCATAGTTATAAAGGGATAGGGAAAGTTTCCCAGAAGAAATGGGACTTGTGATGAGACATAAATGAAAAACAGGAGTTAGTGAAGGAATATCTTTAAAGAGAAAGAGTATTCCAGGCAGAGGGAATGTAAATGACAAAGCTAGGAGGCAAGAAAGGACTAAAGCAAAGAAAAGCACAGTCTGAAGAGACAAAACAAGCATTAGAACCAGATTCAGATATAACACAAATCATGAATTATGAAACAAGAAATTTAAAATAACTATGATTTAATATGGCTGTACTGGAAAAACCACACAATATGCAAGGAGAGATGGGTAATGTAAACAGACAGATAAAAACTAACAAAGAATGAAAAGAAATACTAAAAATGAATAAAAACTCTTACAGAAATAAATAATGCCTTTGTTGTGCTTATCAGTGGACTTGACACAGCTGAAGAAAGAATCAAAGAACTTGAGGATAGGTCAACAGAAATGTCAGTATTTTTCCTCCCCTGTGGCAATTTTAATCTAGTTTTTGTGAGCATTTAAAATGATTATCCTTTTAGAACACTGACTTTCTGAAATAGCAATGCATAGCAAAAAGAGAATTAAAAAAACCCTGAACTTCTAAGAACTCTGGGAAATTTTAAAAAGTGTTACATATAATTGGAATACCAGAAGAAGAAAGAAAGTACAAGGCAAAATAAATATTTCAAGTAATAATGACCAAGACAAAAAACAAAAACCAAAAACACTGATCCAGGAAGCTCAGAGAATACCAAAGAGGATACATCTCCCCTCACCCAAAACCAAAGTTATACCTGTGTGTATCAGATTCAAACTGCAGTATACCAAAGAAAAGAGGAAATGTAGAAAGAAGGAGAAGAAAACAACAAGCATCTCCTCTATTGAGGGGTAAGGAGAAGAATTACAGTTACAGTGGACCTCTTATCAGAAACAATGCAAGCAGTAAGAATGTGCAGTGAAATATTTAGAGCTTTGAAGGAAAACATCACAATCTAGAACGCTATATCTAGTGAAATTACTCTTCAAAAGTAAAGGTAAAATAAAGACCTTCTCAGACAAATAAAACTGAATGAATTAATTGTCAGCAAAACTACCCTGTAAGAAATGTTAAAAGAAGAAAGATCCAAAATCAATATCTGAGCTTCAACTATAGGACACTAAAGAGAGAAAAATAATTTACTTCAAAATAAGCAGAAGAAAATAAATAATAAAAATTAGAGCAGAAATCAATGAAATTAAAAGCAGGAAAAAATAGAGAAAATAAACAGAACTAAAATATGATTGAAAAGACTGATAGAATTGATAAACCTCTAATCAGGCTAAGCAAGAAAAATGAGAGAAGACACGCATTATCAATATCAAAAATGAAGGAAGAGTTAATCATTGTTGTTCCCACAAACACTGAAAAGATAATAAAGTACTTTAGCACTATGAACAACTCTATGCCCATAAATTTCATAATTCACCTGAAAAGGATCAATTCATTGAAAGACACAAACTTCCAAAACTCACACAAAGAGAAAAGGTTAATCTCCATAGGTTGATATGTATTAAAGAATCTATTATTAATAACCTTACCAAAAAATAAAGCATAGAACAAATGGTTTCACTGGTAAGTTCTATGAAACATGTAAGCAACAAATGATACCAATGCTCCATTATCTTTTTCAGAAAACTGAAGCATAAATAACACTCCCTAATTCATTGTATGAAGCTAGCATTAACCTAATACCAAAACCAGATAAAAAACATTACAAACAAGGAAAACAATAGAGCAATATAGCTCATGAACATAAATGAAAAAAATCTAAACAAAATATTAGCAAATCAAATCCAACAACATTTTAAAAATTACACACCAAGATCAAGTGGAATTTAATTCAGGTATGGAAGGCTGAATTGATATTTTAAAATCAATCAATGTAATCCATAAAATCAACAGGATAAAGAAGAAAATATATCAACTGATGAAGAAAATGCATTTGAAACACTCATACACCCATTAATAACTCTCAGCAAACTGAGAATAGTCTCCAATTTGATGAAAAAAGAAACTACAAAACAGAACAAAACAAAACAAAAAAACCATAGCTAACATCATACTTAATCGTGGGAAAGTAGGTGTTTTTTTTTTTCCTTTAAGATTGAGAAGAAATCTTAGGAAGTGTCTTTTTTCACCAGTCCTATTGAACAATACCTATGAAGTACTATACACTGCTAAGACAAGAGGCAGGAATAAAGATTATATATTATATAGATGGGAAGATAGAAACAAAATTATCTTTCTTCACCATGACGTAATTGTCAATGTAGAAAATCTCCCAAATTAGCAAAACACAAAACAGAAACCCTAGAGTTAAAAAGCAAATATAGAAAAGTTATATGGTACAAAGCTAGTATACAAAAATCAATTGCTTTATTTATTTCAGCAATAAACTATTGGACTTAGAAATTTAAAACAATGCTATATATAATAGAAACTAAAAAATAGTTTGGTGCAGATCCAACAAAATCATAATGCTCTAAATGCAGAAAAC